GCCTAAACGATTCATAGTATTTCGTTCCATCCCAGATAAAGTCTGCAGTGACTTTTCCCTGGGACTGGGCTTCTTCTGCCAACATGCTCTGCTGCCACGCCGCTGCTTCAGACGACTGCCCCCCCCCCGGAGGACCAGTAGGCCCTATGGGCCCGAACCAGGAACCCATCAACTTCAGGGCGTCTCAGCCTTTCCCAGATACGAACTGGTGCAGCAAGGGGCAATATGGGCCGAAGACCGCCTTTCGGCTTCTCGAGAAGCGGCAGCAGCGTCCACAGCAGCTGCATCGGGAACAACCCAAGGCGCTCGACCGCCTCGAACAATAGAGACATCACCTCCAGACCAGCATCGCTGAGGAGGCTGAAGTGGCGCACGTGCAGCCCGTCAAGCGACTGGGCCGTGCAAACACTGAAAGACCGCGATGCCGCCCGAATTTGATCAGGCCCAGTTCGAGAGAAACAGCTCCTGTCAGGTATCCGCGCCTCTGGGGGTCTTATCTGTGCCTTCCAGTAGCCTCCAAGGTGAGCAGCTTGAGCCTCTAGGAGCTTGACGGGGTCCGACGAGTAGATCCCTGGGGCCACTTGCGTAACCGTGGGCTGCCACTTTTTTTGGAGCCTGGTGAACCTGTGCATGAGCCTTGCGGAGCCTGCTAGAGCCTTCTGCCACTCATCCCAAGACTGTTGGAGGAGCTTCTCCCCTTTGCCATTGACATCTGAGAGGTCCTCCTGAATAGTATCCAGGAAATACTCAGCTCTATCGCGCCACTCCTGCAAATGGGGATGGCCTTAACTCCACTCTGCCGCAAGGGCTCGCATTTCCTTTAAAGACGCATCCAGTCTGATGCTGGGGCCTTCCCCAGGGCAGGAGTGCTGCGACGAAACCTGGAGGGTCAAGATCTGGGCCTCGCCCTCTGCGGCGCTGTCGGTGATCTGCACAAGCTCGGCAACCGCGTGATAAAGCCATCGCCATCCTGAGCAGACTTGGAGCTGGTCATCCGCATGCTTGGGGCGATAGAACACAGGAGCCCAGGACGCTTTTACCGATGGTCCCCTCATTCCCACAATCTTGGCCTCGGTGCCCAGAGGACGAACTAGCTCCAACTCGGCGCAGTCCACGACGGTGGTCCAGGCAGCATTCAGGCTAGTCCAAGCCTCGTCAGCAGGACTATGGCGTGCAAGGGCGACGGCATATGCTGCCTGATGCAGAGCACCCTCCCAGCATCCTGGCTCTGGCACTGGGCCGAAAGGTAACTCAAGCGGCAGCTTGAGGTGACTGCGATGAATCAACTGCTTGGCCTGAAGAGCATCAAGCCGAACCTGTAAACGCACGGGGCGGTGTGGCTTGATCTCCCACTGCATGTCGGCTTGAACTCCCGAGATCAGCCTAGCTACACCAGCACCCAAAGCGAAGAAATCACGAATGGAGCTGGAGGTAGGGCTTCTGCAAGTGGGCGCTGTGGGGGCCATGAGGAACATGCCCAGTTTACGTGGGAAACCTGAGCTCTCTACGACATCGGGGGTCATATTCCAATCTCCCGCGGTAACCGAATGAGCTGGATCACTTACAGCTCGACCCAACTTGGCCATCAGATCAAGTTTGAACTCGCTGAGTCCTTCAGCCGACTTGAAATACACCGAAAACAACGATATGGTAGGACACCCAGGGAAATCCACGAGGACCTTCATGAGCCTATGCGGGGCAATGGGCGCATCTCCTTCTGGTGGCCACCTGAGGCCAATGTCCAAACGTCCGACAACAGCAACACCTGCAGACTTCTTACCTGTGTCAGGGTTGTAATAGCTGGGCGCGAACAGTGCATGCCGTCCAGGACTGCGTGCCTCGGCAGTAGCCCTGCCAACAAAATCAGCGCTGGTGCCCACTTCCTGCGCACAAACAAGCACTGCTGAACTCTCTCGAAGACGTCGTTTGAGAGTAGTCCAGCACGAACCATTGAAACTCTCTACCTGGTTCTGACTGTCAGTACTCGACCTATGCGGCGCCCCTTTCAGAGGTGGAACGGGGGTGCCTGAACACGAGAGCGGGATCCCACAACACTTGGGGGCAGGGCGCTGGAACATAGTGTCACCCGCACTTTTGTTTCTTGGCCTTGATCCCCAGAGTTTTGACCATGTGTTCAAGGACGCGCTTGTTATCTGGTCCCTCGGCCTGAGCGGCCATAAACAACTTCTCGACATCTTCTGCATCCAACTCATCCAAATCCATATCTTCTGGAACGGGGATGTTGGCATGCTCATCTCCATCACCGCCCCCTCCCCCCGTGCACTCCTGGGCGGGGCCCGCAGAAGCAGGAGGGGGGGGAGGTTGAGATTGTGCAGCCTCTGCCTGAAGCTGAGCCTGCAGGAGTGCCTTGTACTTGCCGAAAGCGGCCGAGGACACGAGCTGCTGCACCTCGGGGTCGCTCTGCACCGTCTCGGCCTTGAGCTCGAAAGACGGGGCAACTGGGGGAACCACTTTCGACATGGTCGTCTGCAGCTTCACCTTCGTGGCCTCCACCTCAACACGCAACTGGCGAGCCTTGGCCTGCGTGGCCTCCAGCTCATCCTGTGCTGCCTTGATGGGGGCCTCTTGCGCCTTGATGTCCTCCTCCTGCTTATCGAGCTTCTGCTGGGTCCGCTGCAACTTGTGCCCCAGCGCCGTGTGGCGTGAGAGAGACGGCTTCTGGCTGTTGGGTTGATCCCTGGCAGCCTTGAGCTCCTTCTCCAGCGCCTCTTTGACTGCGGACGGGAACGCATCATCATTCCGCGCTGAGTTGAGAGTGGTCTCGAGCGATTTGACACGTGCCAGCAGCTGCCGACCTGCATCATCAGCGGGCGAGTCCACGTTGCTGTCACCACTGGCGGCTGCTGCGCCAGGCTGCTGGCGTTGACCACCACCTGCGGCTCCGAAGTGCTTGACGAACTGATCCATCTGCTTCTGAAGCTGGCTGATCTGCTTGGTGACTCCTTTGTCAAGCACAGGAGGACCGCGAGCCCAAGCACCACGCAGAGGACGCTGCACCGCATCGCCACCACATGATGGCGACTTCTGCTTGTGCTCCTCAGCCCGCTTCTTCGCCCTGTCGGTGATGCTGCGCGGCGCTGCTTGCCCGCACTGGCATCTGATGCGGCTCGCGAAGTTCGCGTTACGGCCGCAGCTGTGACATCCCCACTTAGGCTCCCTTGGGCCTGGAAGGACATCTGGATCCACCATGAACGCTCCTCCAGGAGCTCACTGCACACTGCGGGTTGAGATCCCGCAAACTGAGTCGTGACGAGCCAAAATGACCCGCAGGTGCGATTACCGCTCTGAAAACGGCACTTGCAAGCCCAAAGGACCTGGGCCAGAACGGCTAGGACGAGGGGGAGGAGGAGCGAGGTAGGAGGATAGGGAGGAGCAGGAGGGGGGAGGATGGAGGAGTGATGAGGAGAGACCGCCTGGGTATCGATCCTCGATCCCACTTCGCTTTCGACCGCCAGTATCGCAGCGCACCGCGCTCCTTCGGTGCCTCGGCCCAGCCTTTTTTTGCGAGTGCAGGAGGGCACGGTCGCTGGTAGCCATGGCTTCGGCGGCAGCGGCCGCTCAGCAGGGGGGAGACTGCGGCGGTGCCACGACGGGATCCATGGTGCCCATCTTCTGGGGCCGGAGCTTGCCCATCGCCACCATGTTTCCGGTAGGCACAAATTGCGCAGACATTGATTGTCGGAGGTCCGCGGGGATTTCTTGGGTCGGTGCTGCCCCCCCCCCCCCACATGGCGGTGCCCCCGGCGCCGCGCCAGGGAGGGGGGTTTGGGCGCCGATCCATCAGATCCGCTCGGACCTCGGAGAGTCTTTGTGTGATGCTTGTTCTTCTTCGATCGGGACTTGTTGCACTGTAGGGCCTCAGCAGGCAGCGAGTACGTAGCCCCCCGCGACTGCGCATGGGAGTGAGGGGGGGAGAACGCTTCCCGACCCCCCAGTTCGCACGACGTCACCTTCTGGCCACGCGCGCGCCGGGAGGAGGACCGGCCCTCACCTCGCTCAGGGGCCCGGGGTAGAAGAAGAAATGACAGCATAAGTATCACTTCTTGGAGTTCCTCGCCGATTTCTTGGATTTGCGCTTGTGCCCCCTGACAGCGCCTCCAGTGTCGCCCCTGGCGCGCTCCGCGCGCCAAGGAGGGGGTCCAGCGAGTCCAGCGCGGGTCCGAGAAATCTGCGCGGACCTCCAAAAGGTAAAGGTTTACACTGCTTTTTCTTCTTCGACAGGGGTGAGAGGAGGAGAAGAGAACCGATACCTCGCTGCTCGTCCTGGAGGGCCCTGGTCGTCACGGCTTGATTCTCCGCGGAATTCTGGTCAGAACGTGTCCCGGGAGTCCCCGGAGTAGTGGTATCGGCGTTTTTCTGCCCCCTGAGGGGGGGCCAATCACTGGTTGAAAATAACGCAATTCCACCCCCAGTTGGCTTGGGGGGCAACGATCGGGGGGGACTGGCAGTGTGGGGAACGCGTCGACCTGGAATCGGCGATACGTCGCCGATAGATCGGCGATAGGCCCCCGAGATTTAATCCCTACTTTCCTGGGAGGGGGTGGGCTATAGGGTCCCCATCGACGATGAATAGGCGATTGGGGGTCGGTGCATCCCTCCCTGTGCCTACTGGGGCTGACCAAAGGGGCTTCGGCTTCCCTTGGTGAGGACGTCTCGCAGGAGAGACACAACAGGCAGGTGTACCCCACCCCCACCTGGTCGGCCCCTTATCGGGAGGCGGGCCAGGTCGGAGTGGGGCGCTCTTCGTGGCATCGCTCGGGCGTGTGCATTTTTTCCGGCGAGGACCATCGAGGAGCATCCTGGATCCTTGGCCAACAGCGCGCGAAACCAACAAATGCAAGAGGAACGGACGTCCGAGCGATGGTAAGTCTTTCGCTCTCCTAAAATATTCCACATCCACTGCCTCCTGCGGTCCCCGAGAAAGCGGCTCCCAAAGCTGTGGTGAGTTGATGAACTCCGGCGCCGGATGATCTACCGAGTGACCTTGATGTCGTGGTGCTTCCAATTCCTGCTTGACCTGCTCTGGATCCCCCTCGCGGCCTACTTCAAAGACCTGGGCCTCGGTCTTCATGTGCTCGGGCTGGTCTTTGCGCTTAATCTCGGCGTCCGCATCATACCGAACGTGCTCGCCACCCGGCTGGGGGTCAAGACCGACATGGTGTGCATGCTGGTGGGGCTCGTGGGCTTCGGAGTGAACCTCGCCTGGCCGGAGGAGACCTGGGCCATCCTGGCAATGTCCGCGTCGGGCGGCTTCACCTTTGTGCGCGCCCACCTGTCCGTCCACGGCAAGCTGGCCGCGGGCTCGAGCGTGGAGAGCCTCACGCTGGCGGCCAGGTTCCGGGGCAACGACAGCGGGGGTGACGGGCTCAGAGGGGGGGGGGGGGACGCACCGACCCCGCAACGCCCGTTCCTCGCCGAGCGGGCCCCGTGAGCTCGCCCCGCCCGGGAGCGTGCGGACCTGCTAATTACTGGGGGCCCGTCGCCGATCTGTGGGCGATGCCTCGCCAGTGCAGGGTCGAGGCAGCCCCCCTGCCCGCGCCGGCCTCCCCCCGAACGTTGCTCGGAGGGCACCAACTATACACCAACACCGATCCTGGCCCAGGATCACCCTGGGCCCAGGATCGGTGTATATGCCTTCTTGCGCAAGGCAGGAGGGCGTATACACCGATCCTGGGCCCAGGGTGATCCTGGCCAGGATCGGTGTTGGTGTATAGTTGGTGCCTTCCTAGTTGCCCCTCGCAGGTGGTCGGGCGCGGCGCGCAACTTCGGAACCGTGGTCGCCTTCGTGGTGCCAGTGGCGGTGTACCAGGCGCTCGGGTGGAGAGCCGTCGTCGCCACCGCCCGGGTGTTGTCCATTTGTGTCCCTGGCCCGAGGCGTCCCCAGCGTTGCGCTGCATGTTGTGTCCAGGTCTGGCGGGCCCCGGGCTGGGGTGCGCTCTCGTAGCGTTCGGGCGCGCTCCAGAAGGACCGCGGCGCCCAGCAGGACCGCGGGATCTCAGAGGTCCCCGATTTGCCCTGGTCCTGTTTTGCCCCCGTGCTGGCTTCGTATCACCAGGCGGTCGGGTGGAGGGCCGTGGTCGCCACAGCGATGTGCGTCATGTGCCTATACCTCGCGCTGGCGGCGGTGCAGCACCTGAGCTACCTCGGCAGCGTCGAGGAGAGCGCCTCGCCGCGCGGCGGGGTCCCGGAGGAGCTCGGGCTGGTGGAGGAGGCTCCACGGGAGGACGTGCCGTGGATCGACTGGCTGATCGCCGGGGCGTTCTGCGTCACGGAGCTCCAGATGAACATACAGGCCGCAGCTGTTCCGACCACGCTGCTGGTGCTCGGCGTCCCTCTGCCCCTGGTCGGCGCGGTGCAGGCCGCTGGCCAGCTGATCGCCATGGGCTTCCTCGTGCTGCTCTCCCGAGGCCTGTGCCCCTGCCTCCAGAAGCGGCCGATGAACCTGCTGCTCTCCTTCTCGGGCACGTTTGTCGGCATGGCGGCGCTGTGGCTGGCGAGGGCGAGCGAGGTGGACGGGGCGCTCTACGCTGTCGTGCTCAGCCTCTATTTCTTCTATGCCTGCGCCTACACGGCACAGGTGACCATGCTCGAGTGCCTCACCGGCGTGCTGGACATGAACAACTCCACCTCGGGGGACGTCAGCTGACCACCTCACCGATCCTCACCAGGCCCATCCTGGGCCCGGGACCTGTGCATGCGCTCTCTTGGCCTGCCCAGGGATCAGGATGCAACTCCTGGGAGGCTAGATGCAGCGTAGGCGCCGGCATATCCGCGGTCGAAAGCAATCCTATACTCTTGCCGAGTCCTGGTCAACTCCGCTTAAAGTCTCGCGCAGTGCGGCCTGATCTTGGGTTTCCTCTGGGCTAGTGCGGTTCAGCTTCCTTTCACTCGGGCTCAGTGTAGCAGACCTCCCCAGATTTGCTTCCCGACGTGCACCGATCTTGGGCCCAGGATCGACCCGGGATGGGCGGGATCGGACGGGGCTATAGGACGAGGATTAATCCGTGCCAGAGCGTGCCAGAACGCTGTCAGAGCGTCCTGGAACGCTCTGAGAAGGCCACGGCGCTCGAGACGTCCTCCAGAGCCGCCGGGTCAGAGATTCTGGAGCTTGCTCGCCCGACTCGTGGCCCTCGTCCTGGCTTCTTCCTAGTGGGCAGCAAACGCCCGCCCGATGCGTCTACGTCATGGGCGTCTCCGAGATCGCGGGCTGCGCCTGCTCGCTCGTGGGGGGGTACCCAGGAGAGGAACGAAAACACACAGACACTAAGAGGCGTCGATCCCCCAGAAAATACGGGAACCCATGGGAAGTGTGGGGGGGGGGGCAGACGGAACCCCAGAGCATGCGGGAATGTGTGGGGAGTCTTGGGACCCGTGTCTATGTATTTGTGTGCGTCCCTGGGCCCCTTCCATGAGCTCTATCCCCCTGGCGGCGCCAGAGGTGCCGCCCCCGGCGCGCTCCGCGCGCCAGGGAAAAGGGTGTCGGGCGGGGAGCCCAACGCCGACGCAGGCAGCCCGCGCGGGCCACCGAACGTGTCGAGCGCCGCTTTCCCTTGCCCTCTGCGGGTGCCACCTTCCCCCCCTGCAGTCAACCCGCACAGCAAGGATGGGCATCCTTGCCTCCTCGGATCATGCTTGGCCACTTTCGTTGGCCGCGCCCCGCTCGAGAAGCTTCGAAATGGGCGTCCAAGGCCTTTGCATCCTTTCCGCGCACCATGTTGAGACGGGCCGACTGCACATGCTGCTGGGCATTCTGCGTTTTTTTCCCAACCCTACTTGGTTGGGTATTCGTTTTGAATAGAAGGGTGTGGTCGCGTCTCTCCTCCTCCTCCTCCTCATCCCGCCTCCCGCCTCCTCTCGCCTCCTGCCCTCTCTTCGCCGTCGCTGGGGGGCTGCGATCTGCGAAACTGTCGCCACTTTCGAGGTCTGCTGGCGGGTCCAGCGGAGTGAGTCAAAGCGCAGATCTGAGCGAGACCTCGCCGTGCCTGGGGGGCTGCGATGTGCGAAGCTGTCGCCACTTTCGAGGGCTGCTGGTGGGTCCTGCGGAGTGAGGCACCGCGCGGAGCTGAGCATGACCTCGCCGTGCCTGGGGGGCTGCGATCTGCGAAACTGTCGCCACTTTCGAGGGCTGCTGGTGGGTCCAGCGGAGTGAGGCACCGCGCGGATATGAGGTAGACCTCGCCGTGCCTGGGGGGCTGCGATGTGCGAAACTGTCGCAACTTTCGAGGGCTGCTGGTGGGTCCAGCGGAGTGAGGTACCGCGCGGATCTGAGGTAGACCTCGCCGTGCCTGGGGGGCTGCGATCCGTGAAATTGTCGCCACTTTCGAGGGCTGCTGGTGGGTCCAGCGCAGTGAGGCACCGCGCGGATATGAGGTAGACCTTGCCGTGCCTTGGGGGTTGAGATCTGCGAAGCTGTCGCCACGTTCGAGGGCTGCTGGTGGGTCCAGCAGGGTGAGGCACCGCGCGGATCTGAGCAAGACCTCGCCGTGCCTGGGGGGCTGCGATCCGTGAAATTGTCGCCACCTTCGAGGGCTGTTGGTGGGTCCAGCGGAGTGAGGCACCGCGCGGATCTGAGGTAGACTTCGCCTTGCTTGGGGGGCTGCGATCCGTGAAACTGTCGCCACTTTCGAGGGTTGCTGGTGGGTCCTGCTGAGCGAGGCACCGCGCGGATCTGAGGTAGACCTCGCCGTGCCTGGGGAGCTGCGATCTGCGAAATTGTCGCCACTTTCGAGGGCTGCTGGTGGGTCCAGCGGAGTGAGGCACCGCGCGGATCTGAGGTAGACTTCGCCTTGCTTGGGGGGCTGCGATCTGCGAAACCGTCGCCACTTTCGAGGGCTGCTGGTGGGTCCAGCGGAGTGAGGCACCGCGCGGATCTGAGCGAGACCTCGCCGTGCCTGGGGGGCTGCGATGTGCGAAGCTGTCGCCACTTTCGAGGGCTGCTGGTGGGCCCAGCGAAGTGAGGCACCGCGCGGATCTGAGGTAGACCTCGCCGTGCTTGGGGGGCTGCGATCTGCGAAACCGTCGCCACTTTCGAGGGCTGCTGGTGGGTCCAGCGGAGTGAGGCACCGCGCGGATCTGAGCGAGACCTCGCCGTGCCTGGGGGGCTGCGATGTGCGAAATTGTCCCCACTTTCGAGGGCTACTGGTGGGTCCAGCGGAGTGAGGCACCGCGCAGATCTGAGCGGAGCCTCGCCGTCCTTGGTGGGCTGCGATCTGCGAAACCGTCCCCACTTTCGAGGGCTGCTGGTGGGTCCTTCGGAGTGAGGCACCGCGCAGATCTGAGCGGGCTGCGATCTGCGAATCAGTCGCAACTTTCGAAGGGTGGTGGCGGGTTCAGCGGAGCGAGGCACCAGGCAGATCTGAGCGAGACATCACAATCCTTGGGGGGCTGCGTGCCTCACGAATGCCGCTCGCAGAAGTATATGCGCCCATGTCACGTCATCACCTCCGTATAACGTCTCCCAAGCTACTCATGCCCCGCATTGCGCAGGGGTTTGGTACGTCGCCAGGATAATTCTCTCTCGCTCTCTCTGTGTCCCTGGTCCCACTGAGGTACCTCGGCCCCGCCCTCCTGGAGCGCAGCCCGGCGGCTCCCTTCGCCCTGGAGGCAGCCATCGCCGCGGGCACGACGCTGGTGTTGGGCGTGGGGCTGGGCCTCCGCGCCTGCGACCAGCACGTGGTTCTCTGGGGAGCAGGAAGCGCACCAGCACCACCACTCGGGCGGGGCTGGGACGAGGACAACTCCATGCCAGGGCATGCCAGAACGCGCTCACAGCGTTCGTGAGCGCTCTGAGAAGGCCACGGCGCCCCAGACATCCTCCGGAGCCGCCGGATCTCAGAGGTTCTCGAGGCATCCTCACCCGATTTGCTATCCTCGTCCTGGCTTCGTCTTGACCACCACCTGAGCGGGAGGGCAGCGGGGTGAGCGGACATCTGGGACGCAGGTGTGCCTGATGTCCCGGGGGAGCGCCCGAAGCGGCATGCACCACAGCCAGCCCTGACCACCCTGCCTCCAGCCTCGAGGTGATGGTGGTGCGTCCCCTTTCCGCCAGGTCTGCCAGACGGCGTCGGAGTACCACGCTGCCCTGCAGGAGCCCGGAGAGCAGAGGTCTGCACTTGCGTCGAACCATTTTCGAAGGTCCGCGCGGATGTCTCGGATCGGCGGCGGACCCCCTTGAGCTGCGACCTTCGCTGGGGTTCACTCGGCTGCCGACACCCCTCGAAGTCTGAGCCCAGCCAGCGTTTCAGAAATTGGACTAGCAGGGGTACACCTTAGGCGATGCTCAAGAAAACCTAAGTTTTCGTCCAGAGTCTGGATTATTCTTAACTTTTCAGCGTAAATCCGAAGATTTTAATAGAAGTTCGGGTTTTGTATTCAAATTCTGAGACTATGAATTTCTTAACCCATGATTTCTAAAGCATTTCGCAGGGGTAGTCTGGATGGGACAACAGTCGCCCGCCTCTGGGATCCGGGGGGGCGGGGGTGGCACGTGCTGCCGGAACGGGTGGAGGGGGTTGCTGGAGGAGGAGGAGAAGGAATGGGAGGAGGAGAAGGAGGAGGGGGAGGTGGAGGAGGAGGAGGAGGGGGAGGTGGAGGAGGAGGAGGAGGACGAGGAGGAGGAGGAGAAGGAGGAAGAAGGTGGAGGAGGAGGCGGGGGGCAAATGGTTAAGTTCCGATGGAAGGTCAATCACCCCCTTTGATAAGTACCTCGCCTACCTGACGCGCTGGCGCGCTCCGCGCGCCAGGGTTGGGGGGATCAAGCGCCGACCCACAGAATCTGTGCGGACCCCCGAAATCTTATATTCATGCGATTGCTTGTTCTGTGCGCCAGGGGGTCCAGCGCCGATCCGAGAGATTCGCGAGGACTTCCGAAAGGCTTGCTTTGTCTCTGGCAGATTTTTTTTGATCTTCTGAGGAGCAGGAGCGCCTCGCCAGCATCCCGAGGGCGCTTCACGGGCTGCGCCACATGCACAGGCGCCCGGACAGCTACATCGGGATAGAGCAGAAGCTTCGCAAAGCCCAGACCGAGGTCGGCGACTACAAAGGGTATGGTTACGCCGGGGTGTGGTTTGCGATCGGCACTGCTGGGGCATGGGAGGCACGACACTGTCCTTGTCGGGCCTCCTCGGGGTGCGGGAGAGCTCTATCGAGGTCCCCGCGCGCCCCCCAGGGTGCCCCCCAGGATGTTCCCCAGGGTGCCGGTTGCAAACCACACCCTTTGCAAACCACACCCTTTGGAGTCGCCGACGAGGGGAGCCTGGTCAGCGCGGACAGCGGCTCCACGAGGGCCGACACCGAGGGGAGCCTGGTCTCCGTGGACAGCAGCCTCACGGTGGCCAGCTGCGGAGACGGCGCTGCGCTGGAAGACCGAACGGCCACAGCACGAGCCTACGTTTGGGGGGGCCTCGGCATCGCTCGGAAGTATGCGCGTTTCTCGGCGAGGACCATCGAGGGGCATCCTGGGTTATCTAGCAACAAAAATGCACACGAAACCAGACCAGGCACGAGAGGAATGGTCGTCCGACCCATGGCGAGAGGTCCGCGCTGGCTTCCTGGACGAGCGATGGACCCCCCCGCCCCGCCAAACCCCTGGCGGCGCCAGCGGCGCCGCCGCTGGCGCGCTCCGCCGCCCCCTGGCGCGTTCCGCGCGCCATGGGGGACGGGGGGAAGATAAAAAACGTGTGACAACAAGTTGTTTATCACACTTGTTTTTGTTATCACACTTGTATTTTAGCACACTTGTTCTTTTGATCACATGCACCACGCTTGCTCGGGTGGCGGGTGGGGAGCCCAGCGCCGGCGCAAGGAGCCCGCGCGGACCTCCACAAGTCGAACGCCCTTTCCCCTGGCCCTCCGCGGGTGCGACTCGGGGGTGGACAGAGCCCCCGCCCTGGCACGTCGATGAGTGAGTTGCCCTGGCCGGACCCGTCCTTGGCCCAGGATCGGTGCATGTACCTTCTTGGCCAAGCCATGCGAGGGTACAGTCCACCCTCCAGCACTGATGAGCACCTTCGCAAGTTTACCCCTGCATCCTTCCTTCCCCTTCGGCCCATCCTTGGCCGCTTTCGCTGGCCGCGCCCCCCCCCGCAGAGTGCCGACACGGCCCTCCAAGGCCCCTGCATCCGTGTCGTGCGTCCTTGTTAGGCGGGCCGACCTTTGCGCCGATCCTGGGCTAGTAGCATAGGCCTGGCTTCCTTCCCCTTCGGCCCATCCTTGACCGCTTTCGCTGGCCGCGCCCCCCCCCCCCCCCCACGCAGAGTGCCGACACGGCCCTCCAAGGCCCCTTAGGCGGGCCGACCGTCTGCGCCGATCCTGGGCTAGTAGCATAGGCCTGGCCAGGATCAGTGACCTCACACAGCCTTGGGTGTGGACAGACCCCCCACCCTGACACGTCGATGAGTGAATTGTCCGTTTTCGGTTCTCGCGCCGCGGCCGTCATTTTCCAGGCTTGCGCCCGCCAGGTTCGGGCCCGAGGTCGTTTCCACCAAACCACGGTTTACGGAAGGGGTTCTGTCCATCCCTGGCAGCTCTCCCTCCTCCCAAAAGACGCCCCAGTCGCCGACGCCAAGCGACGACGACGACAGAAGGCCCAAGCCAGCGAGCCGCGATCTCTCGGCGGAGACCTCCGCGGGCCCCTCCACGGCCCGCCGGCCGGCAGATTGCGCCCGCCGCAGACGATCCCGAGGGAGGGAGGGGAGGGGAGGAGGATTCGGCGGCGAGCGAGGGGGCGAAGCGCGAGGGAGGAGGCCTTCTCAGAAGGCGGCGGGACTCCTCCTGAGAAGCTCTCTGTGTCCTCGGGGAAGGCTTTAGGAAACTCCTCAGAGGGCGGTGGGACTTCCGAGCCTTCTGCGATGGTCCGCTTCTTCTCGTTGCCCCCCCCTCGCCCGCCGCCGCATGGATGGAGGGAAGGAGGGCGGGCTGGAGGAGGATGGAGGATGGGAGGGAGGGAGGAGTTTTTTTGTTTCGGGCTGAGTCTAATCTACGGACGTTTCGTCGGCCAGCTGCTTGCCCCCTGGCTCCGCCAGGGGCGCTGCTAATGCCTATGCGGCTCCACCGCACCCAGCGGGTAAGCAGGAGAGAGGGGGAGGAAGAGGATACAGGATACCTGACCAAACTGCCTGGACTTCGAGCGGGCCTTGACACCCGTTGCCTGGGGACCCCCAACTCGCAGCCCGTTGCAATTGATCGCGAGCGAGGGCGAACCCTGGTTCGCTTCCAGTGCTAGGGCTGATCAGCAGTAGCACCATAATAGCAAATGGTTGGTGTTGAAACCATTGTAACAGCGAACAAGGTAAGGCATGGCCAGCAGGAGAGGAGAGAGAAGTAAGTGGAAGGGAGATGAAGAGGAGAAGAGAGGGACGGGACTGAAGGAGGGGAGGAGAGGGCAGATCAGGCCTCTTGAGGTTAATGCCTCGTGGAGGCGCAGTGGTGGTGCCGTGAGGCGTGGCGGCCGCAGCCAGCAAGGTCGGGGTGGCGGAGGCCAGGGTAGCGCCATCGCGAGACATGTCAGAAGCAAATGCGTGGGAGGAGGAAGGGGGGATTGGTTAGCTGTGGGTGTGCTGCGCCCGCAAAGGCTGCGACCGATTCGGGGCCATGTAAACAGGCCAGAGATGAGCTGGTACACGGATGCCAACGCGCACGCTTGTTCATCGACGGTGGGCATCCAGCTCGCACTTCCCCACAGTGCCTCGTAGAGGCATGGTGTCGGTGCAGGGCGGCGTGCTGGCTGAAGCCAGCAGGGTCGGGGTGACGGTGACCAGGGTAGCGCTATCGCGCGAAGTGTCATGAGTGCGGGGCAGGGGGAGAGGGGAGGTTAGAAGCTGAGGTGATTGGTTAGTGTGGGTTTGCCGCGCCTGCAACGGATGACACCTGCAGGTGATCCTTGTTCGGAGCAGCGTCATGGAATCTATGTCCTGGACGATTCGGAGGCTTACGAGTCCTGCCCCTGCTCACTACGCGGAGTCCGTGGCGCTTCGGCCCCACCCGAGACACCTCTCGGGGTCCTCAACAAAGAGGCACCAGGGAGAGCTCGGGCCCGCGAAAGGCCCTCAGGCCTGGAATGGCGAGGCGCTTTGGGCGCGGACTGTTGGACCTCGGGGTCAGAGCCTCTTCTGCAGCCCTTACACCACACTGCCTCGCCCCAGCTGCAACGCGCGGGAGTGGCCACCAGTGGGCCCGCACATAATCCGAACATACCGGGACCACCCCTCGTTCCCCTCAGCGCAATGAGCCCTTGCTCGGGGTCACGCTGGCGGTCCCTGTGCCGGCTGCCTCCTGCATCTGGGTCTTATGAGAAGATTCAAGTGAAATCACCCATGTCCCTGGTTAGTTCTGGCGCTAGCCAAACAGGTGTGGCGCCGCTGATGCCAGGAGTGCTGCCGTGATTGTTGAGTCGGTCGAGTCGGTCAGGCCGAAACAATGGACCGCGAGCCAGGTATGCCGCGCATACCCTTAACCCGCAGTCCGACCATACATCTTAGTATCTAGCGCAGCCCTAACCTAAGAGGTGCGGCTCTGCAGATGCCAGGAAGTCTGTCGCGAGAGCTGAATCGGTCAGGCCGAAAAAAACGGACAGGAGGCAAAGCCCTAGCTCTCAGTTCTAGCTGAATTTCCGAGATCTTGCCTTGAAACGTGCACGGATGCCGGAGTTCCTTGTCGTGCTTGTTGAGTAGGTCCAGCCGAAACAACGGACCGCAGGCCTGTCGGGTATGCAGTGCCGAGCCTTAGCCCACGATCTTGGTAGAGTGTCACAGATGATGATGGTAATGGCGATGGTGATGGTGATGGTGATGCTCATCGCGATGCTGATGGTGACGCTGATGCTGATGATGATGGTGCTGCTGCTGATGATGATGCTGCTGAGGCCGCTGATGCTGCTGGTGCTGCTGCTGCTAATGATGGTGACGGTGATGGTGATGGTGATGGTGTTGGTTGTGATGGTGGTTGTGATGGTGGTGATGGTGATGGTATTACGGCTGCTGACTATACATATGTTATGATGGTGGTTCTGATGATACTGATAGGAACGATGATAGCGACGATGATGATGATGGTGATGTCGATGCTGATGATGCTGGTGATGATTGTCATGCTGCTGATGATGATGCTGCTGCTGCTGATGCTGGTGGAAGTATGGTTGATACTGCTGTTGGCGGTGATGATAATTATGATGATGGTGATACTGATGATGCTGACTATCCGTATGACGATGTTGCGGGTCGTGTTGCTGACGATGTTGATGGTGACGTTGATGACGGTGATGTTGATGATGATGAAGACGGTGGTCATGATGCTGTTGATGTTGTTGCTGCTGATGGTGATGATGAAGCTGATGACGATGCTGATGATGATGATGATGATGATGATGATGATGATGATGATGATGATGATGATGATGATGAGGATGATGATGATCATGATGTTGAATGTTGATGATGCTGATGCTCATGACGATGATAATGACGATGCTGATTGTCAACTCGTGGCATGGCATACGCAGGCTGCCCATATAGCGACGTGTTTCGCGGTGCTTTGCCTCGCTGCCTGGAGCCCACGCTGGAAGCACTGCGTCTCCCTGGAGAGGGGGGAGACAGAGGAGCGCATCAGGCCTGCAGCGGGTTGGGTGGAGGGGTGGCCGAACGAGGGGGAGGGGAGAGGGAAGAAGGAGCAGAAAACAGCAGGGTTGATGGCCACGGTATTGCGAGCATGCTGCCCCAAAGCCAATGACGTCATGCACTGTTCGGTTATGGTTGCCTCGCCAGCATCGGCTGGGACCGACTGTGGGCCACACACAGGCCAGAGGTGAGCTGGTACACGGATGCCAACGCCTGTTTATCGACGGGGGTGGGCAGCCGAGCATGCACCTCCCCATATTGCGTTTTGGACACAGTGGCGGTGCAGTCGGTCGGGGTACGGGCGGCCAGAGTAGCGCCATCACGCGAAATGTCCTCAGCAAGTGCGTGGGAGGGGAAAGGGGGGACAAGATGGAGGGTGGACGGTA